GAATCCCACACACGAATCATTGTTGTCCAGTCACTAGCGTTGAACATAATTAACTAAGGTCACAAAAAAATTTCAAATAGAGAGTTCGGAAACTCAGAAAGGGTCGCCTCGGGTGATTCCAGAAAGTATAACCACATATCCCCACTTTTTAAACAGTTTGAATTTGTCGTCTACACACACACAGAAGACGATAAATGTTTACGTGACATGAGCATCTTAGTTTTAAATCTTGAATAATCAATTACCTGACTGGCTATTTAACAGATATAAGAGGTATAAGGTTATTTTTTTTTATGTAAACAGAACTGATTCTTGCTGTGATATGCCAATTGTTAATTTCAAGTGTGTCTATTTCTCTCTCTCTCTCTCTCTCTCTCTCTCTCTCTCTCTCTCTCTCTCTCTCTCTCTCTCTCTCTCTCTCTCTCTCTCTCTCTCTCTCTCTCTCCCTCTCTCTCTCTCTCTTTCTATGTCTTTCTCTTCCTTTCTTTTTCTTCTAATCTATGCGTTTTCATTCTCATCCACCTTCTATGTCTTATTCTCTGTTTCTGTTTCCAGTTTCTAATTCTGTCTCTCTGTCTCTCTATTTCCGTAGGTATGTTTGTCCCCTGTCCTCTCCTCTCCTCCTTCTCCCCTTTCCTCTATCCTTCTCTTCACTTTCCCCTCCTTTACTTCTGTCTTTTTTTTTCTCCTCCTTTGCAATCTGTTATCTCTTTTCTCTCTCCCTCTTTCTCTTTTCTCCCTTTCACCTGTCTCATCCTCCTCTCTTCCGTTATTCCCTCTTCCTCTTTCCTTTTCGCTTACTCCCCATCTTTCTTCTCTTCTCTCCTCCTCTGTACTCCCTTCTCTTCCTTCCCTATATTTCTCTACACATTCTCCCACTCTTCTTCATCCTGCCTATTCCTTCTCCTCCCCCCTTCCTCCTTTCCCCACTTTTCCGTTCCCCCCCTTTCTCCTTCCCTTCCCTTCTCCTCTATCCCATTTTTCCCTTAATTTTTCCTCTCCCTCCTATCACCCCCTATATTTTAGCCTACCTCTGTTTCGCCTATTTTTCCCCTCTATTCTACTCTCCCCTCACCCCCCTCCCCCACCTGTTTCCTCTCCTTAATCCTCTCCCTTCTCCTGATCCATTTTATGTATCTTTTTCTTACCTTTTCCCTTTTTTTCTTTTGTTGTTTCTCCCTCTCTCCCGTTTCTTTTTTTTTCTCCCCTCTTCTCTCGCCCCTTTCCCTTCCCTTTCCTCTCTTTCCTCTCTTTCCCTTTTCTTCCCCTCTGTGATCCTTCTTCCTTCTCTGCTTTTTCTTTCTCCTTTCCTCCTCCTCTATTTTCTCTTCCCTTCTCCCTCTTCTGTCTTCTTCCTTCTTTCCTTCTCTCCCTCTCCCCTTTCTCCGCTTCTCTCTCTTACCTCCACCTCCCTCTCTTCTCTCCTCACACATTCTTGCTGCCTCTCCCCCCTTCCCCCCATTCATCTTCTTTTCTCCTTTTTTCCTTCTTTTCTCTCTCTCACCCCTTCTTCCCTTTTCCTTCTACCTCTTCCGCCAACACCCGTCCGCATAACTCCCCTCCCCCTCCTTCCTTCCCCTTCCTATACTTCCTTCCTTCCTTCCTGCTACCTCTCCGTACTCCCTCCTTCTCCCCTCCTTCCTTCCTCTTTTTTCCACCTTTTTTCCCTATCCCTTCCTCTCTCTTTCTCTTTATATTCCTCCTCCTTTCCCCTACTTCTTTTTCTCCCACCCTCTCCCCATCCACCCCATCACCTCCTTCTTCCTTCCCTTCCTCCTTTCCTCGCTATTTCTTTCCCTCCCTCTCTTTCCCCTCCTCCCCTCTTTCTTCCTTCCTCCTCCTTTCCCTCCTCCCCTCTTCCTTCCCTTTCTCTCTCTTCCCTTCCCCCTTCGCTTCCTCCCCTTCCTTCCACCCTCCCCCTTCCCTTCTTCCTTCCCCTCCTCCTCATCCCTCTTCCTTTCCTTTCTTCCCCTCCCCCCTCCTCCTTCTCCTCCTTCTCCTTCTTTCCTCCTTCTTCCCTTTCCTACCTCCTCCTTTCCTTCCTCCCTCCTCCCTCTTCCTTCCTCTCCTCCTCCTCCTTCCCCTTACTCTCTCCTCCTTTTCTATCTCCCTCCTTCTTCCCCTTCGTACATCCTCCCTCTTCCTCCCCTTCCTCCCTCTTCCTTCCCCCTCCTCCTCCTCTTTCTTCCTTCCTCCTCCTCCTTTCCTCCTCCTCCTCCTTCCTCCTCCTCCTCCTCCTTCCTCTTCCTTCCTCCTTCCTCCTCCTCCTTCCTCTTCTTCCTCCTCCTTTCCTTCCTCCTTCCTCCCTCCTCCTTCCCCATCCTTCCTCCTCCTTTTCTTCCTTCCCTTCCTCCTTTCCTTCCTTCCCCTCCTCCTTTCCTTCCTTCCTTCCTCCTCCTCCTCCTCCTTCCCCTCCTTTCCTTCCTCTTCCTTCCTCCTTTCCTTCCTCCTTCCTCCTCCTCCTTCCCCATCCTTCCTCCTCCTTTCCTCCTCCTCCTTC